CACCCACCCACACCCACATCCACACCTACACCCACACCCACACCCACACACCCACACCCACACCCACACCCACACCCTTCTCTCTAGGACAACATGTAATTTTGAAACTTGCAGATAACAATGCCAATCTATGGAGAAAAGTTCTCTGAAAGTTTCAGGTTGATTCACTGAATTATATTGGGTTATACATCTTTAGAGGATAATAGATGGTGTTTTGCACACAGACAGCTGCAGTAATATGACCACAGTCCTTGAGTGGGTTGACGCACATCCACGAAATTTGTATAAAAGATAGCTAGCACATAGCGCTACATAATAATGTGTTTGATGACCCATAACATCTTTTCGTTCTAGAATTATGAAGCTCAAAAAAAATAGACATCATCTATCATAACTCCGTTTCACATCAAGCAATCGGGGAGCGGATGGTATCGCTGACCTACGTTTCTAGCGGACTATGTGCACACAAACTTTCAGACTTCTAGCCCGTATGGTGATTGAAATCCGAGGGGGAAGACTTTTGTCCGGGGGTGTACACAAAGAAATCACATTGAGATTTACAAATAAAAAAACTGATCCTGAACTCTAACGAATCCTTATGAATTTCGATGAATTTCCTGTAGAATTCTTAATAATTCAAGAGGATCCTAATTCTCTCAGCTGGGTTTTTTTCCGCTTGCACGAAGGAAATCAGACTTATCTGGTTGGCATAGACAATGGATCTCAAATAAGCTTATTTAACTCTTTGAGTACGGATGACAAAAATTCTTGTCCAGAGACTTAAGACTAAGAAGAAACCTAACTGAAGAAGAGATACTTCTTATGAGTGTATAAAATGAAATATCGAATTATGCATTGTAGATCATTTCAAAGGCCAGCATATTCTGGAACCATATTTGAATAGTACTGTATATGTTGTCATAGACTCCAAACAAACATTCATTTCGAATTTTTTGACAGTTTTTATGTCCTTTTACTTTGAAAAATAATCCCGCACTCAAAGGAATAAAGAGAAACAGATGGGGAAAAATCATTTGATTCAATAGGAGAATTATACAGATTGTTTTAAAATTTGAAGCAGGAGTTTTTATTAAGTCAAGCGTCCTATGGAACAGTTGGGATGGGATAGGATGAATCGTGTTGTCCCATGGGAGGAAAAAATCGTCCCATCCCATTCCATCCCATTCGGAGCTCTGTTCTGCACCTTTGGAGATAAGAGAAACGAATCTTGTAATGGGTTAGATGTTTAATGAATCCATCATAAATTAAGGTAAGCAGAAATTGAAAATCTGCGTTAATTGAAAGATTAAATCATATAGTAATGCAAATGAATTCGAATGATATGGTAATTAAGCAATTCGCTTATTTAATTTGTTAAAAAAATTTTTTTGAATATTGAGATAAACAGAAACATGAACTTCTCTCTTGAAAATTGAAAGATGAATCCTTTAAAAAATTGTTTCACTTGGTAAAAAAGTGATCGAATTATTTGAGAAATACTGTAACTATCTTCTAATTATTCACTTTTCTAAACCAAATGGAAGTTTTATTAGAATTTTATTTCGATAAAAGTTTAATTTACATAACCAACAATAATGTTTACTCTATTTATTTATCTATATATAAAGTTGAAAATAAACCATGAAATGATGTTATTTTTTAAATTAAATATAAATAAAATGTATTTTCTGACAATTATGATCAAATATCTAATTAACTATTATTTCTAAAAGAAAAATAAAACAAATATTAAATCCTGACATATTCTATATTCTTAGGTTTGCTGATTGACTTAATATTGCTTTTATTTTGTTGCAATTCTTTTTCTTTCTTTCTTTCTATCCAAGCTCTTTTTTCGTTCTGTAAGCTCATAAATTTCGTTTCCTACTGTGTCTATAAATTTATTAAAATTTTTTAATAATCTATGCAAAAATAAAGAAGTTTTTTTTTGTTACAATAATTTATCTATAAAAAGAAGAAATCAATAAAATTTATTCATCATGTTCGTTAATATAATTGTATAGTGTCATATCCAAATGTAATTAATTATTTTTATCCTAGAAATTAAAAAACAAGAATTGAAGATAACGTGTTATCTTACATATGTGATAGTTACCGTTTTGAATTGAATAAAATAATTTTTATTATTAAAAAATTGATCAATATGTAAGGCTAAATTTTCTCGAAGATAATCAATATCTATTGAACTTTTTTCACTTTTTTACAATTCATAATTTTAATAAACTAAAAAAAAGTAAGAATTAATTAGCTAAAAAAAACAAAATAATTGTTTATTACTTCGTCGCCCTGCACAATTAGAAACTTTCTACTTAAAAAAGGTCCAATGAACCGAAATGATTAATTTTTCTCTTAGATGTTCGTATTTGTTTTCATACGACTATAAAAAAAATATCAAGAAATTCAAACATTTTCATTGATAATAGAAGAATATTTGATAATTTTTCATTGACATAGGTAATAAAAACTTATGTTTTAAATTTTAATTTTCATATCATACCTACGAAACAGTAGCCTGGTTCTTAACTAGCATTTATATAGATGCACACTGTGAAACTAGTAATAATGTACAAAATTAGGATTAGTTCAGTGTGTGTGGGGAGTATATCGAAGACTACTTTTTTATAGGAAGAATAAACAGAAAAGCAAATGATTTCATACATATTTACTCAACTCTATTTCAATCTTTTATTATTTTTCTGCATGACTTTTCAAAGTATACATTCGTAGAATTATCATTTATGAGTAGTTTTTATTATTGTGTCTCATCAGCAATGACTAGATTAGTCTATCGGTCTATCAGAGTTAGTTCGCTATTCTTCGTTAATGCAAACTCAAAAGAACAAGATTAATCTCTACTTAGTTTTAGTTTATTTTTTTGTTTATTTTATAAAGTGAAATTTTTACGAGCAAGTTAAAATTTTAATAAAATGTCTTTTATATTTAATAACAAACTTGTTGTTGTCTTAACTAAATTAGCATTATTTTATTTATTCAAATATAAGACAAGAAAAAAAAACCAAACAAAGAGAACACTGACAAGTTTCTTATCCAAAAAAAATCAAATTGTTTTTTTGAAAATAAATATTTATTTAATCATTATATTGGTAGCCGCATTTTGTGCAGTTCGTTTTGGTAGATTTCCTTTTAAAATTGTAAGTAACCCTTGCTAATTGAGGGTATTCTACTGTCAATAACACATTATTTGATAAATAAGTTTTTTTATCCATTAAAAATTGTTCTATATAATCATCTACAACATCATCTAAGTTTAATTGATTTAAATGACCAAATTCAGCAATTGATAAATTTATTTCTTCTTGTTTTTGTTTTTGTGGTATTGTATTTGATAAGGATAATTTTTCAACTAATGGAAATGATCGAGATATTCTAATGAAAAATTCATGTTCAAATGCATATTCATCAAATAAAGAGATTTTTTTAACATATTCAAATATTCCACCTGTAAAATTATTTGTTATATAATAATAACATTTAATATCATTTGAACGTAAATGTGAATATATATGACAGTGACCCATACGAGTATGAGGATAATAATCAATGCAACAAAATGCAGAATTATTTAAAATATCTTTTAATGTTTGTTGAATGTTTTCATTTGATGGTAAGTCATATTCATTTTCAACAGGAATAAATGAATGTAAATTAAAAATAAACTTTTTTAAGTTTAATAAATAATTGATAATGTTAATCTTTAAATTATTACCATCAATGAATGTTTCTTTATTTATCACTGTAAGATGTAATCGAAGTTTTTCTAAATGTAGCATTCGATGTAAAAGTGGAATAACTAATTCATTATCATACATTTGTACTGTTATTACAAGTTAGTGAAAAATATTTTAAATTAAATAATATATTCTAAGAAGAAAAAAACAAAAGAAAAAAACAATTAGATCAATTTGTTTCATTAAAAAAAATTCACTCACTGTATTATTTATTATTGTTTCATTTGAATATATATCTGATATATTAATACATAATTTGTTAAGATTTTGAAAACGTCCATCAAGTAAATATAGACAATCATTAAAAGTGTTCACATTTATAATCAGTTTCAACAAATTTGAAGAAAAAATAGTTTGTTGGGCTACACCATTGAACGATATTCTTGCAGAATAAACTGAACATGTTTCAAATTTCAAATATGATAAATTAGTAAACATTAATAATATATGTGAAAATATTTTTGTTAAAACACTTTCCGTTAATGGTGTCTCTTTATCATCAATTTTAATAATAATTGATAAAATTTGTTTTTTAAACATATGAAACAAAGAATATTTACCTAAAATAAATAAACAAAATTAATTAGCAAAATACTTTATCATCGAAGTTATTACCACAAAATAAATGTAAAGCTGTATTTAAATCCATATTATATAATCCAATTCCACATAAATTAGGATAATTTCTTTCAAGAATACGTTCCATAGCTAATACTTCAAGGTTCAACCATTTAATTTTATGATAAATTTCAGGTAAAATTTTTAAACAAAATAAATTAATTAACTTATCATCAAATGGATAAATATGATTATTTGATGAATATCTGAATAATGTTAAATGACTTATTATTTCATGATCATATAAAATATTATTTAATCGTTCATTTATATCAACTAAATTATAAACATCAATTGTACTTAATTCCTTAAAAATAATCAAGAGAATTTCATCTGGCAAATCCATTAATTGCGTAAATCAAATAAATCAATGTAAAATGTTCATATCAGAGATGTCCACAGGGCGCTTTTTTCCGCCCTGCCCTGTCCTGTGAAAAAACGATGCATAAAAAAAACTGCGCCCTGCCCTGCCCTGCAGGACAGAGCAGGGCATAGATAAAACTTCAATTGCCTTCAAGAAGCCAAAAATTTCCTTGTAAAAGATTTGGATTAAAAATTGGATTAAAAATCAATAATAATGGCACTATTGTAATCTGATTTTAATC